TTGGCACAGATGGTCTGATCCCATGGCCACCAGTCTTGGCCCTGCTTGGTTTTTACGTCTTTGGCGGTGCTAAAGCACTAGCGTATTCCGAACCCATTAATACAACAGCACAATTAATAGAAAAAATTAATAATGCTTTTGTGATAATGAAACGAGAAATAACACTACAGCATACCACAAGAGAAATAAGAAAGATATGTTATGCTGTATTAGAAATAATACTAATAATAATCAATTTAAGAAGATTTACAATAAACCGAGCAAAAAGAGAACAATAGATTTAGCTGTGTTAGAATGAGACAAAGTTTGTACCTGCTCAATTAGGTAATTCTAATAATTGGCTGCATGCACTATCGCGAATCGTTGAAGATATTTTTTTTGAATTATCTAATTATTTATATTACATGTGGCATACCCCGTACTTATTTGTCTTGTTTTTTTTGCTTATTGTAAAGTTGACGTAACATTTTTTTCCATTGATTTAAGGATGTTTGTTGTTCCACTGTTACTTGTTCTTCAACTGTTTGTATCAAATATTGGTTGAATCTGAATGAAGTAACGTAGACATAGGAATAAAATCAATTTACGTCGTTGCGACCGTAAACAGAAAAAATATTGAAACTTAAGTTTAAAAACTGGGGATTTTTTTAAAGAATGAAATAGCATTATTTCTCCTTAAAACTGAGGCAAAATATAAATTAATCAGGCATTGTAAATAGCCAATAGCCTCAGCCATCCGCCCATTTCCGTTTGACTACTCACCCTCCAAACACCCTATATATATTCAATTTATGAATTTGTTAGAATGTTACCCAAAATTACTCAATAATTTCAGATATATTTGACGTAGAAGTTACTGATTATACACTAATGCATATTGTTAATATTTGCTTAATTCACATACATTGAACTTTTAATCTCGAGCACATACAGGTATTACATCAGCTAGGTACTTCAATCTAATGTACTATACCTATACAAAACTATGTAATCCCACCATATTTATAAAATTGTAAGTTTCCTTGAATAACTATAAGTGCGGCATAATGACAATCTTTCTGTTCTTCTTTACCACCACTTGTCCCGCCTAATAGCAAAATTTAAAGAATAAATATTCCTAATCTTATAAATTTATTAATTTCACAACTTTTGGAAACTATAAATTGTATATTTTTCATGTCAAGATACTTGTTTGAAATGCCTTGAACCAAGCCTAATTTATTTACATTAGCAACAAATATTGTTTCCAGCTGAAAAATAAACAACAAGAAAGCTTCAGGTGGTGATTGTAATTGCTATCATTTTGAAAGTTGTTGAAATGAATATGTAAGCGGTTACTTTCTAAAGTATCCTAATAATTAGAAAATTACTCGCAGATAACACGAATGTGTAATTCCAAGCATTTTTGGAGCAAGGATCCGCATACATATGTGAATGCATTTTGGGTGGGGAGGCTCCGTTTCCTATAATCTAGGTATTGAACAGCATTACTGTTTTGGACGGGATTAACGATCGTCAGGTAAATATTTTGCTACACTGATTTTCAATGGTGTAAGTAATTCAGAAAATCGTCCCTGCAATTGGACGTATCGGTGTGCAGATATTGTCAGCAAAAATAGTTTTCTATAAGCTAACCCAAACTAAACTTGCGTAGGACTTTCATGATTGCGACTACGACGTATACTACCGAAAAAATTTCTAGTGCATCTTGGTTCGCTTGTTTTAAGATGTTCGAATCCAGGAAAAATGAGAGATGGAAAGAAATTTACATTTGTTGATAATATTTTCGGCTTTTGTTGAACGAACCTCGAGATTTCTAAAATAAAAAACGAACATTCTTTTCAAATATTTAATTTGCAAATCAGCCCCATTAAATGTCCAATACGTTTTTTTATTTTTTCGACTACATTGTTGGTCTTGCAGTAGTTGACAAGTGCACCCAAACTTATGTGTGTGTAGATTGTACTTACCACTGAATCGCTTGTATCCTGGGCAGCATATTTGGTATACAGCTAAACATGAGCAAGAGCAAACTGTGATTAAATATTCAAGTGAAAATATCTATGGCATAGATAGATTTCTATGGGGCACCCTGATTCCATATACATTCTTCCAGTAGTCGATGCATGCTTCTCGAGGTACCTTATCCCAAGCTAGCTTCAATTGATCCAAAGGGTTGCTATGTGTTGGTTAAGGATGAGGTAAAGAGGTCATTCTTTTTCCCATCATATTCTACTCACGGCTAACAGTCTGGGGATCTAGGAGACCAAGGAAGGTTGTTGATTTGTTTACATGGTGAAAAGGTAGGTAGTATGGACGGAGACCTGAAAATAAAAAGTTCTGAATTGAATTTATGCCGATTTCAGAGATTTATGTAAGCACGCGAATTCTTTAATGTCGCCTACCGCAAGCACTACTAAACCAATTTTCCTAGGTGTATCGAAAAACTAGTCAGAATATTAAAAAATCAGGACCAGACTCGTTTTTCCAACTTTTTCGTATTCCATCAAAATTAACATATTTTAAGCTAAATATTGAAAGGTTTGATTATGTATTAACAAAAACGCCATTGAATGGTGCTTAAAAATTAGCATAAAAGACTAATTGCGCCTCTTATTGTTTCTTTCGTTAAAAATTATAATTTATTCAAATAACAGATGTTTTGGGAATTAAAATCTTCATGACCGGATTCATTTTTTTGTTATTTTATTTGTTTGTATTTCACTTATACTCTGACTCAGATCAGCCTTAAAGAGAAACAGCATTTAGTAGAACTAAATTATTCGGATAGATAAAATTTGACTAAAACATTTCAATATTTAGCTTGAAAGGTGTTGATTTTGGTAGAATACAAAAAATGCTTTTCCTGAATCAGATAGCACATGACGTCTTAGGAACGTCCATTTCAGGCCCGAAATAGGTCTGTACGTCGCAGTTTGAAGGACGTCTTTCCTTAGACCTGCAAAAGACATCTATGTTACGTAGACATAGATTTTAAGTACAAACATTCGTAAATAAGGCTTACTGATAACGTCTAAAAAGGTTTTTCATATGAATCTTCAGAAATCATATGGGCTCAGATGTTCCGGAAGGTGTTCTCGGAGACCTGTATAAGATATCTGCATTATGGTCTCTAAAACATCTTTGAGACTTACCAACTGGGCCAAAGGCACAGTAATGATGAATTCCAATAGCACAAAGAGCCGCTGTAAGACGTTCGCAAATAGGCACTTTCGGGCATCTTAGATGCTATACATAGGTGTCTCTGAGGAAAACTACGAATCGTTCACTGTGTCAAATACAGCGGTTGTTACAGTAATTAGTACAAAACAGTCACTTCATTGTTTAATCAGAATGACGTCTCTAAACATAAGACGTCCATGAGACATTCTTAGGACGTATTTTTAAATTTTCCGTGATTGTTCGTGAACGGTAAATATGTGAGTAACTTTGGATGGTAGTTACAGGAGGTATAAAAAACGTATTTCTTCGAATTCTTCATACTTTCATACAACTATATTAAGTTTAAATCAAGGGAATTTTTGGACTGTACTCTGGTGATTTTGTATGTCATCTGTTTCCGGAAGACCAAATGCGAACGGACGGTAGACATGGACGCCATTTTCGTATACGCGTTTTACATACAGCGTATAATTATGTTTTGTGGTTTTACAAGCTTATCTTCGTTAAAGGTTAGATTTGTGGTCCTATATAAACAATTCTTAATGGTAACGAGAGGAAAGAAGGGCAACATCAAAGAAATTAACATCGGGGAGTACCGTTTTGAAAGTGTTCAAATTTAAATACTTAGGAGCATTAGTGACCGACAGGAACGAGAGGGCAGCGGAAATCACAGAACGATTACGCGCGGGTAACAGATCGTACTGGAAATTTTACAGGCTACTGAAGGACAAAAAACATAAGTAAAAAACCAAAGTCAGAATATACGTATATAAGGTTGCAATCAGGCTAGTTATTACATACGGAGCAAATACCATTACATTACCATGTGCCTTACAATGAAAGACCAAGAGAAATTACGAGTACTAGAGCGCAAGATCATACGCAGGATAATGGGACTAGTGAAAGGATAATAACGAAGGACTTCGACCACTAAGAAATGAAGAGATTATGACTATTTTGAATCAAGAAGACATAGTAAGATTTATCAAATCCCAAAGATTAAGGTGGGCAGGACAAATTGAAAGGAGAGGTAATGATTCACTGATTAAGAAACCTGCGGGAGCTAGATCAAGAGGAAGACCAAAAGTGAGATGGGACGATCAAGTCAGAATAGACATAGAAACATTAGGGATCAGAAACTGGAACTCAGCAAGAACAGAAAAGAATGGAGACATGTTGTGAATTCGGCCAAGTCACATGAACAGTTGTAGAAGAAAAGCAACGAGAATATGCAGCTTGATTCCCCGATTCTAAGAAACCAGAAGAGCCCAAGTGGGCGGCAATCAATTCAGCAGGAATGCGAATGTCATGATGATGATATGAAGAAGGTAAATTTATTGTTGATTTGTGAGTGCTGCGGCAAGTTAAAAGTAATAAGCTTCCTACACTATAAACCCCGCCCCCCTCCCTGAAAAAGTATTACGTGCGTGGTAAGCGGTTTAATTATGATTTATATGAGAAAATACATGATACAGATCAGATCTGATGCAAAAGGAAACTCTATTGTTATTGAAAATGATACCGGTAATCCAACAGACCAGAATGAACCTATCTAAAATCAACTATAGTTCGATATAAGGGATATTCAGGCCTACCAAACATATCATACAAACACGACTGGTGATTGAACAAAAATCTGGTGCATCTGCCTCGTCATATGCAACAGTTCCTCAATCTGGAACAGTTAACTTTATGTTATCTGAATGGGCTGTAAACCATCGAATTTCTAATACATCAGTGAAAGATTTGTTGAGTATTCTGACGACATCTTTTGATGCAGCAAATGTGTCAATTTAGTAAACTAGTTGTTTTTTCAGATGGAAGAACTTGCTCATATTGGTGGATAAAACAATTACAGTTCTGTAAAAAAGAGTGATATCTGCTATGGTACCAAATGAACAGGGCCTTATATTCAGCTGGATGAGAAGAAAAGGCAAGAGGCCATTTTAGGACACAAATTTGGCATAGCTTATCATTTGCATTTTTATGTTCCGCACTACGCTCTAAACCAAAAGTTTGAAACAAGGAATTTGCAGAGATGTTTTAATAATTAATATGTCTGGAATATTTTCAGCTACTTCGAATTTGGAGAAAAAAGTTATTTTTTCAAAATCATTATATAACCATTTCATAGGATTATAGGTGATTGAGTAATTCTAGCGCATGGAATGAAGTCAAGAGTCTTTACTGTATTCATTTTATTCTTCAAATGAACTGTGGACAAATAAATCATTTTTGGTGACATCATGGAAACTGTATTAAAATTCAAAAGATGTCTGTGTAGAACAACATAATTTGCCTCTCATTTGTAGTAGCCAGCAACAAACACTCTTTATTAATATCTATTATTCAGATAGATCATTGTCTATCTACTGTCGGTTGGATTGCTATTACCATGTTTTGTCATTTGTTCTAAACTGTTATCTCAAAGCTACTGCAACTTTTACAATATTCTTGATCAAATATGGACCAAAGTCACTGTTTCACTTTCATTGTTCCATTAAAAGCAATGTAACCATTTTTAAACAAGTATATAATATATTTGGTATTTTTCTCGGATGCTTTTATATTTTCAGGCTAATAAACTTACTGCAGGTGCTGCAGAAAACGCTAAGGTGGGAGTCCTGAGAAACCAAACAGAAGAATCCATCCAGTTGTGGCTGTAAAGAGCTTTGTATATGTCTGTGAAGGATTATGGCAAGGTGTTCCTATGACGCCAGAGAGACAACTGTATGACGCCTACGAGACGTCCCTAAACGCATCCGAGACGTCCATGTTATGTCTCGAACGCCAGTTTAAGAACAATAGACCAAAACAACATGTCTTAAAGACGTTCTAATTAGTAACAACCGGTCTCTAAAAGACGTCTGTTAGACTTTTGCAAACGTCTTTAAGGTGTCTCGAAAGTTGAGATCGGACGTCCTAAACACATCTTTGAGACGTCTTTGTGCTATTTGGGTCCAGACTACACTGTCACCATATCTAAAGCAGGAAGCTTTTTATAGTATTGATAGTTCTCTAGTCAATGACTTCAGTGACATATACATGATTATATTTATCTTTTTTTATATATTTTAGTATAATTACGTGTGATTTGAACTTGTCAGTATATTTTTATCTTTTGAATGTGTTCGGTTTGTTTTATTTAGTATTAATGGTGAGTGTTTACTTTTTTGTTCATTGGAAGTTTTTCCTTTTTGACGTATGTGAATGCTTTTGCATGCCCAACATCATTAAATATCATTATTTTTATTATTAAAATTTAAAAAAAAAAATGAATCGCGCCTTGAATTTTTAATCTTCCGACTATTTTAGGTAAGTAAGTAACATATATAGATATTGTGCAAAATTTCATCAAGATCAGTCTATAGTGACTGAGGTATGTGATATTAGCGATTTAGCGTGAATTGCTTTTATTTCCGTCTCGGTCCATACTACCTAGCATTTCACTCATGGAACACTATATAGATTCCTGGCTCTAGGTGTCAATTGCATATCTCTGGTTTACATGTCTGTGATGTAGTTGTTCTGGACACGGGACTTGAGGCACATTTAAAGAAAGCTGCGATCACATGGAATACACCTGCCATGCAAAATTAACCGGACAAACAAAATAATTTTGTTCAAATTAAATTTGAAATAACTTGTTAACCTTTGTATCAATTTCGTTAATTTTGCCACAGTTTGAAATTCTCCTTAGTTCTGCTTGAGCCTTCTTCCTAATTTATCCAACATGTGCTCAATGGGGTTGAGATCCGGACTCCTTGGCGTTGAGGTATTGCATAGTCATTCTAGCTATATGCGGCCGAGCATTATCTTGCAAACTTTCTCCTATAAAGGGCATATGAGGAGAACCACATGTTCTTCCAAACACTCTCCAATGTACCTGTCGGCAATAAGGTGTCCTCCTCGTAGTGAAACAAGATCTGTGCGGGATTCCAAAGAAATACCTCCACCACCAAATTGAACTCTAGGAGCAAAACAACTTTGAGCATAGCGTTCTCCACACTCTTTGGCGACGATCAGGGGAATATCTCATAAAACGAGACTCGTCTGTAAAAGTTTGTCTGGTTAATTTGCGTGCCAGTGTACCAGTTAAAAATGAAGTCAAGAAGGTTGACTTGGTATTTCCCATGAATTCGTATAAATTTCACCAATTACTCACATATGTTGAGTATCTTATGATATTTGAACGCAATGTCTATATTGCTAAAATATCTTAAGTGTTTGAGTCCTTTGGACACATTTTGGTCTTGTCAGAAAGACCAAACATTATCAGAAAGCCAAACAAGATTTGGAGAGTCAATCGAAATAAGACAGCAGAAAGTGCCATCTATTACTAGACTTGACCACAGCAAGACTGGTAATAGATGTCACTTTAGGCTGTCATATTTGAGAGACCTTACAGCTTGGATAGAGAAGAGATGCTCGGCTTGCTTTTACTGTCCCACCTGAGATCCAGCCTAGATTCTGATGAGTTTCCAAAAGCATGAGACAGATGGTGGCTGGATGAAAGTTTTCTTTTTTCCAACTCAACCCAATATGTTTCATTCATAAATGAATATGAATTCATTGATTGATATGGTTAACTCATTAAAATTTAGTTTGCTCTTCTAATGTTCAGATATCTATGAAAACAGTAAAAATTGTCTGAATGAATTAAACACAAATGTTTTTGTTAAATTGGCCTGATTCATCCATTCCATATCGTTATGCTTACTTGCTTAAACGGACTTACACAGCATATTCCACTTTGACTTACTTGCTATGTAGAGGTAGTAGCCAAAGATGTAGTGTCCACTCACTGTGTATTGGTAGCAAAGCAGAAGTTGAAGGATGATCTAAAACCATACAATTCCTTCAAAACTCGGAGGAGAAACTATATGAAAATTATAATAATGGAGAAAGTATGGATAAAAAAATATTTATAGATATATGCCCTCCAAGTGGCTAGTTGTTTCACAGTCAGAACCAATACAT